TATTTTCTATTTACAGGCAAATAAAGAAGTATTAGAAATGCAATAAAAGGAGGAATGCAGCCTATTCAAATCAAGGCATACCAGCTATATACAATGAATACATACACTGAAATCTAAAAATTATTCCAGATCTATCCACATCCTGTGCCTAGTACTCTCTGAAAGCACAAATACAAGGTTACTTATCAAGGTTAATCTTTTATTCAGCAGTGTACATCATTGTCTTTTTCCTCTTTTAATCATCATTGTTCAAGCTACAGTCCAGCCTTTGAATTCTATCACAATATTCATCAAAAGATTTTAGCCTTTTCCTCATCTGAGCCCCAGGAAATACCGAATTCCGCTGAAAATCTTGCGCCGGTTCCTATTTGAGAAGAGATTATGTCTGAAACGAGGATTGTAATTAATAGTGTTCGATGAATCAATTTAAACTGCTCCATTTTCCCGGGTCTTTTCTTCTATCAGATGAACTCTCCCATATCAAGCCAGTGAAATTCACGGGGAATTTTATTTGCTATTAGATAACCAATTCATAAACAAGATCAGGATGCAGAAAAACACTGGAAGGCTGATCCTATGATTATGATAAGACTATATGTCCTATCACATAAAAAGATCAAGGAAGCTTCCCAACGTACTTTTCATCAGGGTATCCTGCAAGATACATGATCATAAAAAAATTTACCTGTTTCAATGAAACGTCATATTCATCTTCCCATCCACGACGGGCCTTTTCTAAGGAAGATAGTTTCCGGTACTTGTCTTTCAATTGTGCAAGGGGCATCTCCCTAGAAATTGAGAAGTGTAAAGTAAAGCACAGCACAAGGAAGAGGAAGATGGGTTAGGGTGCAGACATGAAGCAGTCAATTCCTAAAAGGAAGAAGTTAACCTAAAGCCTAAAAGTCAAAATCCTTTAGTACCTAAGGGCCTCTCCAACAATTGGACGAAATACCTCGTACATTCCTGAAGCAGAACTGAAATAACCACGAAACAGAAAGATCAAAATCACGGGCATTTGGACCAAGGCATGACCCTACATTAGTTGTGAAAGAAAGGCAGCTAGGGGAACATCATGCTATGTCTCTTTCATATTCATACAAAATCTTCAAATTGCTAGATGAAAGCTTATAAATGGTGCACGTTGTTCGTAGATAATTTTGTGTTAATTGATGAAACCAGCAAGGAACCAACTAAAAGCTGGAAATGTAGAGAACCCCTCTAGAGTGTAATAGGAGAAGTAGAAGTAAGACAGAAGGTATACATGTACATCCTCTTGTTTACACCAGAATACCAATAAATTTAAACATCTATCTCAATAACAATATCTCATGAAAGAAAGAAGGCATTCCCTGTGTGTCAGAAGATCCACTTTAGCATGACCCACTGAGTAAGCGTATGAATCTTTAGAGTTAAAAGAGTTATCTTTTGTTTCTGGTGAATTTTTTGCATACCCAGCCACAAGGTCTATTAGGTNGAACCCAAATATACGAGAAAACTGAGCCCAAAGTTGTCTAGCCACTGAGTAAGTGTATGAATCTTTAGAGTTAAAAGAGTTATCTTTTGTTTCTGGTGAATATTTTGCATACCCAGCCACAAGGTCTATTAGGTTAAATAATTGGATGTCATTCTTGAGAACCACATTTTCTCTAGGTCGGCTACTCTTTTGCATACCCAGCCACAAGGTCTCTTAGGTTAGATAATTGGGGTTTTCTCCTAAAATATTCCTTCATCAAAATAATACATAAAAATTAGATAAAATTCTGAAATGGAGGAGCCTCACGAGATTGGAAAATGTCTAACAAGTTATATAGGTCAATTGTGAGGCCAGTAATGTTAGAATAGATGAATTCCGTTGAAATGAAAATGTTAAGATAGATGCACAATCATTTAAGATTGAACAAGATTACAATGATCACATACAACAACAGATGCAAGCAACATAAATAGACGCTAAAATGAGAAAAGATAGCATGAGATGGTCTAGTTACGACCTAAGTTGAATATGATTATCTATGGTCTTAAAATTAGATGAGATAACCTCAAAATCACATGGAGAGAAGTTGTCAGGGAAAACCTTAAGTTTCTCCTAATAAATGCATACTTAGCTAAAAATAAAACAAATGGATCTATATAAGTTCTACCAACTATTTGGGATTAAACTAGTTATCCCTGTAAGGTAAGTGTGAGATATAGAAAATCCTTAAGTTGCCTTAAAGGGCAGCCATGTGCATTAAGCTCTCGCTATGCACGGAAAATGGACTTGGGTAGAGCGGAAAAGATACAAATCATTCATAAAGCCCAGCTGAGATGGGATGGGGATTGAAAAGTAGTTGACTGATTGACGTACACATAATCCAATCTGGTCCCTAATACCAAGTTCAATAAGGTTGACTGCACTTGCAAACCAAAATACCAATATACAGAAATAACAAAATAACCGACCAAGAATTTCCATACCCTTCAAATGCTAATAGAAAATGCCGTCTTCCCAACCATTCTCATTTGGATTCATAGAATCCACTATTAGTTGAACTAGACTCATCCTTTTGCTTCTCTTCAAGCAACGCATACGCTGACTACAGGTGGAAAATAAAAGGTTACAAAGCAAACTTGGAAGGTAGCCATCTAACTCAAGTTTATAATGGTAATATATATACCTCCCAAATGAGTCCACGATCCAATGCAAAAGAAAACAATATGGTTGAAGCCCCGGACAAGTTGTCAATATGAACAATCTGTAGTAGGTTGATGTCACAACATGTTTTATATAAGAATGCAAAGACAAAACAGGAACAGCATAACCTTTAAATTTGGTGCCGGAGACCAAGCTTTTGCTTTTTCTACTACTCAGGTTAGTGTTTGTTATTGGGTTCTTCTTCCCAATTTACGCAGAAAGAGGCGAGCTTTCCTAAACCCTTAACCCACGCCACCTGCTTCCTGCTCTGCCAGTATAACAGGCCGGGTAAAAGTCGGGCCTCTGATCCAATTATGGACCTTAAAACAATGGCCCCATTTTTTAACATCTTTAAGAAGTGGCTTCTGATCCAATTATGCACTTAGCAACAACGACGGTGCAAGTTGGTAGGATTTTAGCTTTTATTCATAGTAATGTTATGATAAATTGGTCGAACTTTATGCTATATTCAAATTTAGCTATCATATTAGATAATTCACAAACTCTACCACAGTGTCTATGTTATTTACACTCAAGCTTATAAGAGACGACTTTAAGTTATACTACCATTTTTTATTAATCGGTAATATTTGTCCCGCACCCCATACATCTATAATATATTCCTCCTTTCTCACAACTAATCCCACCCATGTACCCCTCTAATCCTCTTTAGTAAAATCATATTTGAACTATTAAATAAAAGTTTAAACTTCTGAAATTAATGGATATTGATCTAATATAGATAACTCAATAAATAAAGAGTGTCTCATAAATTTCCTCAATCATCATTCCATTCCATGTATGTATTCAACTTAAACTCATTGCCAACTCTATAATTTTATCACCAAATTTCACAATTTATCATATTTCATTTTCAGTTTTAATAAGAATACATAGCATTTGAAGATCTTAGAGTTTTTTTTAAAATTTTAATTTTTTGAAGTTCATTTTTTTTGTGTGTGTGGTAATTTTCAAGTTCATTCTAATAGACACAAACATGTTCAACTAATATTTTCAAATCTTAAATCAACCAAACATTGTATAACTTATTTTATGTGGGGATTATTTTTTTTCATTTTAGTAAGCAAATATATAT